AAACCTTGTTGCAGCACTAAAGCATAAAAATGAGATTTTGCATTAAATATGCAAAATATTTACATATGAATTGTTTTAGAGCCCTTTTATTGGCAGAATCTGATATTAATTTAGTTCTTACAAAAAATGGGTCCCAACATGGTTTGTGTGGCGTTGCCATGGTGTGACGTCATAGGCACAGATCCCCTGTCCTCTTGTTTGGAAATGGAAATATGATCACCCTATTAAACAAACTGTCCACCCGGGCTTTTGCGCTGCACAGAGACGCTTCGCTGCCAATGACTGAACGTCAGTTGAGAATCAGTCTCATGCAGACTGACCAATGAAGAGAGGGCCTCAAGTTAAGACCCTCTCCTCATTGGTCAGTCCACACGAGGTGGGTCAAAGGTTACTCTGGGCGGGTTACGTGTTGTCAGGCATTCAAGTATTGAGTATATTTACTGCATATTACAGTAAAATATTCTGTATGTGACCACATTATGGTGATCCTCGGGTCGTGATGATGGAGCCCTTGAATATTGTTGCCCAGGGTACGACAAAGTGTTAATCTGGCCCTGGTTCCGCCGTCACATTCCCGCAGAAACTGGTTGATCACACCGGGGCCAGACTACTAGCATGTGGCTTTACAACCACAATGTCCTCGGAAGCAAAAACGCTTTTAAAAGGGAGGGAGGAGTCCTAACTGTTGCTGCAGGCGTGTTGTGTGAGAGTGCAGTTATATACTGGTTAATATATTTTTGGGTTCAGTTGCTTTCATGTGGCCTAATGTGAGTCTATTTGGGATCATTGGAATGATCAGCAGCATTTCTTGATGTGACTTTATGGCAGTTGCCCAGGGCATCATCACAAGGAGGATGGCATTCATTTACTTTTGTTTTATTTGGTATTTTTTCAGTCATTTTTGGAAATAGTGATCAATTTTGATTAATTCACAGCCTATGTTTAATTACATTTAAAAATTAGTTGTTTGACATCCCCAGTTATAATAAATATCAACAGATGAGATCAAACAAAACAGATGACAATTGCCCTTAAGCTGTTTAACTTGGACCAAGCATTTTAGGTCACAGATAGATGTAGCTTATAGGGTCTCTGTCTATACACCTTATAAGACAATTTAGGTGATGGTATGTTGTTTTTCTGCTATTGAACTGTTTTCTAATAATGTTGTGTTAAATAAAGTGAAGGAAGGAGAGAAATAACGTTTCCCTAGCAGTTTTTAAAAATTTCCCCATGTAATCCGATTAATCGATTAATCGTGTCGAGACCCCATCCGATTAATCGATAATCCAAATAATCGTTTGTTGCAGCCCTATATGCAAGTTAGGTGTAACTCTTTCTATTGTGCCTTTGACACAGTTGATCACAATGTTCTTTTAGAAAGACTTGAACATGTTGTAGGGATCAAAGGAACAGCGTTAGGCTGGTTTAAATCCTACCTGTCTGACAGATTTCATTTTGTAAACGTACATGACAAATCGTCTTCATACTCCAGGGTTACTTGCGGAGTACCACAGGGTTCAGTGCTTGGACCAATTCTTTTTACTATATATATGCTCCCAATTGGTAAAATCATTAGATAGCATGGGATAAACTTCCACTGTTATGCTGACGATACTCAGCTATATTTATCCATTAACCCTGATGAACCTAATCGGTTGGGTAGATTACAGGCTTGTCTTGAGGACATAAAAAATTGGATGACTCTAAACTTTTTGCTTTTAAATCAAGACAAGACGGAAGTTCTCATCTTTGGACGAGAAATCCAGAAAAGGAAATTGCTTAGCCAATCGCCTGACCTTAATGGCATTACATTAATCTCCGCGAACAACGCAAGGAACCTTGGTGTTATCTTTGACCAGGACATGTCATTCAAATCCCAGGTTACACAAGTTTGTAGGATTTCCTTTTTCCACCTTCGGAATATTGCTAAGATTAGAAGCATACTTTCCAGAAGTGATGCCGAAAAACTAGTTCATGCATTTATTACATCAAGACTGGATTACTGTAATTCATTACTCTCAGGAAGTCCACAGAATGTAGTTAAAAGTCTTCAGCTTGTCCAAAATGCTGCAGCTAGAGTTCTGATGAGAATTAAAAAGAGAGATCATATCTCTCCTGTCTTAGCTTCCCTACATTGGCTACCTGTTCAATTCAGAATAGATTTTAAGATCCTTCTTCTGACATATAAAGCTCTTAATAATCAAGCTCCATCATACATCAGTGATCTGATTGATCCTTACGTTCCTAACCGAGCGCTTCGCTCTCAGACTGCAGGTCTACTGGTGATTCCAAGAATATCTAAAATTAGGATGGGAGGCAGATCTTTTAGTTATCAGGCTCCTCTCCTGTGGAACCAGCTCCCAGCCTTAGTCCGTGAGCCAGACACTTTGTCTACATTTAAGAATAGACTTAAAACATTTTTATTTGATAGGGCTTATAGTTAAAATCTGATGTTAGTCTAAATCTGGACAAGTGGGGGAGTACAGGGAGGTGGAGTGTACAGTCGGTAAATACGGCTCTCCCTTGCCCTGCCTCCAACATGCCTACATCTAAATAGGATAGATTATCCAGAGTTATCTCTGTAGTTATGCTGCTATAGGCTTAGACTGCTGGAGGATACACTGGCCACTTCTCACACTCTACTGCTTTCTTCTACAGTCTGCTCTTTAACTGTATTATTTTGTGCAATTTCAGCTGTTAACTTTATTTTCTCTGTAAGTGTTTTTCTCCCCAGAAGAAGCTACAATGACGTTCTGCTGAGCTGTGGTGGCCTCATGGAGGGGGCCATCGACTAGCACACTGCTGCTAACTACTTAAACATTCTCTCTCTCCTGATAATAACTTTTTGGTTTCCTTGACTTTTGATGTGCTAATACTAGTTTATCCGTTTAATTATAGATCCACTAGGATAAATACAATAAAGTTTATATTTCACCAAATAGAATATTTACTAAGACATCATAATATAACTGTAGACACATTACTTGTCCGTGTGTGTGTGTGTGTGTGTGTGTGTGTGTGTGTGAGTGCGTGCGTGCGTGCGTGCGTGCGTGTGTGTGTGTGTGTGTGTGTGTGTGTGTGTGTGTGTGTGTGTGTGTGTGTGTGTGTGTGTGTGTGTGTGTGTGTGTGTGTGTGTGTGTGTGTGTGTGTGTGTGTGTGTGTGCTCTGTCTTCTCGATCCCCAGTGAGTCGTGGAGGATGGCTGCTTATACTGAGCCGGGATTCTCTGGAGGTTTCTTCCTGTTAAAAGGGAGTTTTCCTCTCCACTGTCGCTTTATGCTTGCTTGGTATGAGGATTGCTGTATAGTCACTGACACTAGTCAGTGACTTGATGCAATTTGCTGGGTTCCTTATATAGGAAACATTATTTCTGATTGGCTTAATGAACTGTGAATTGGAATGTTTATTATGTGAAGTGCCTTGAGACGACTCTTGTCGTGATTTGGCGCTTTATAAATAAACTTGAATTGAATTGAACTCTTTCTATTTATTGTAAACGGGCTTGTAAACGGATTATTCTTATCAACTCAGAAACCCGAATACCGACCTTAACGTGATCATAACCCGGATATTGGCTGCATGTAAACGTAGTCACTGAAGTGCACTCCTGTGTATGTTAATTTTATACAACTTGCTCATGACAGCCCACATCCAAATGACAGCACTTTTGTTAATATTAGCATTTTACTTAAAAGCTACAGTTCACATATTATTAGGTTAATGTTTTAACAACCGTTAGCATTTTACCATATACCCTGCTGGTAGCACACTAGATGGAGTAAGGTAATGTTACGAAACATGGTAGTCAGTGATCCACAACCAGCTTATTGGCTCAAAATACCTTATCTAGTTATAAACTGATACGCACCTACTGGCATGCCCCTTTACATTTCTTCATCAATGTTAATTAATGTTATTATTACGGCAGCACGGTGGTTAGCACTGTTACAGGGTCTTTCTGTGTGGAGTTTTCATGTTCTCCCCGTGTTTGCGTGGGTTCTCTCCAAAGACATGCAGCTTGTGGGGATAGGTTAATTGGTTAATCCAAATTGCCCATAGCTGCGAGTGTAAATGGATGTCTGTCCCTTGTGTTGGCCCTGTGACAGACTGGCAACCTGTCCAGGATGTACCCTGCCTCTTGCCCTATGACAGCTCGGATAGGTTCCAGCGCCCACACGCGACCCTTAGAAGGATAAGTGGAAGCGAATAGATGGATGGATGGAATTTTATTAATATCTTTAAAATTAAACATTAAAGAAAGGGGCTGGTTGAGCTTTAGAAACTTTTGGTTTCCAAATGAAAGCAGCACAAACGAAAATTTTTGCAGCACAAACCAGCACAAACGTAGCACAATGGTTTGATACCACTTTTGTTGGATTTGAAGAAGGTGGGGGGGCTGGTTGACCTTTTGACCTTTACATTTTCATTAATATCTTCAAGACAGAAGCAGCACAAATGACAATTTTAGCAGCACAAACCAGCACAAACGTAGAACAGTTGATTGACACCAGTTTTGTTTGATTCCATTAATGTGGGGGGGCTGGTTGAACTCTGATGACCTCCAGAAATTTTTATTAATATCTTGAAAACGATAGTAGCACAAACGAAAATTTTTGCAGCACAAACCAGCACAAACGTAGCACAATGGTTTGATACCACTTTTGTTGGATTTGACGATGGTGGGGGGGCCAACTTCACTCAGGTAGCTTTAAAGGGGGAAGAATGCCTTTATTTTGAAGTGGGCAAACTGCACGTGTTTGAGAAACAACTTACATATGATGAATGGACAGGTAAATTTTAAAATGGTACTAATCACATTGAACTTAATGCATTGACTGTTTGTCATTTTCCACTTATTTAATGCATGGAAAATAACTGGAACCTCTTTTTTACTATTTCTGACGTGTGACATGTGTGCGAGCTAAAAGCCTGTTAGTGTATTTGTGTGCACGTTGCCCCTACTTCCTTCCTAACCCCCTACTTACTTTTTTTTAAAACCAGAAGCAAAACGCTGAAGTGAGCCAATCGAAAACACGACAGAGAGAGCCTTTAAGATTCCCTCCTTTTCATGATGACACTCATACATCCTCTGCTTGCAATGCGTGGAAGATGTCTGCAGCTTTGGGACCTAGAAGAATGCCGACTACAAGCATAACACTTGTGGTCTTTGTGATTCTAGTACTAGCATCTCATTATGCAAAAGCATCAGAAAATGGTATTGTATAATATAGGATATCCTTGTGTTTGTCTTGTTTTTACTGGATTTGTCTTGCTAAAGCTTCTCAGCCATTGTATGTTTGTTTTAGTACTATATGGTTTCATATATCATTATATCTAGTACATTATGCACATCTTTTAGCAGAAAGATGCAAAAAAATGTTCATTAAGAATTTCACTAAAGTACAAATGGATTAAAATTTTCTTGTGATGTAAAAAATCTAGTAAAATGCAATTTCAAGTTATAATAGAAGCTTCACTTGTTTTTTTTTTCTTAGATTCTCCATTTTCACTCATCAATAAAGCCACTGGAAATTGCCTGGTGAAAAGATCCAATCGTTGCCTCGATGTACGCTGGACAACTGCTGACCGCCTTGTGGTGACTTCCACCAAAAAGTGTCTTGGAGCGCAGGGCAGAAGTGTGGGGAGCGAAGTGAATCAATATGACTGTGATGAAACAAGTTTGCTCCAAAAGTGGGAATGCAAGAATAATACGCTGCTTGCTCTCAAAGGCCAAAATTTCTACATTGAAGGAAAAGCTGATGAGTCCATCGTTCTTTCACAAACTATTGGGCCAAATAATCACTTTATAATCCCAGGGACTGCTAATGGGGCCTGCTCAAGGACACACAGAGGTATAAATGTAATTCAATGAAAGGTTGACATTATGAAAAACAAGAAGCATGCTGGTGATTCTAACAAAAAAAATCATATGGTGTGCTATTAAGTCTTTTTAGGGTTTTTATTTTAGGTCTGATAATAACTTCTTCTTTCCCTTCTAGAGTTGTACACCCTCGGTGGAAACGCATTCGGAAAGATATGCATGTTTCCCTTCTTGTACAAAGACCGATGGTTTGTGGACTGTACCACGTTCGACACAAAAGATAAACGCAGCTGGTGTGCGACGGAAACCAAATACGAGCACGAACAGTGGGGACATTGTCCGACAACTTGTAAGTTTGCCAGCTTTACAATGCTACACAAGATGAGCTGAAATATTGTAACCCAACAAGTGCATGCAGAGTACAACATTAACCTTTAAACTTGTTTTTTTAACTATGTGACGGCGCAGCCACTGATCATTGGAAAAAAAATGTCATCACCGGAGTGTACTACCAGGTGAACACGCAGTCAGCCCTGACCTGGGCTCAGGCTGACAAAAGCTGCAAGCAGCAGGCTGCCTCTCTGGTCAGCATCACTGACCCCACTGACAATGCCTTCATTACAGGTAAAGCGCCTTCTGCTGGATATCTGAGGACACTGAGCTTAAAAAGATTTCACAATGAGACAACTTTTATTTGGCTGTAAAATTATCTATAAAAAGAAAGAAAATGCTTCAGAGCAAGTCAACCGTAAGCCTTTAAACACTTTTCCTTTAAATGCTCTAGAAACTTTTACAGCCAATGCATGATTTCACATACTACAGATAAAAGCTATCTGGTCAAAGAGTCTCATTACATTTGCTGCATAGTTTAAAAAACGTTTGGGATCATTTGAAGGCTAATTTTTGTTGAAGTGTGATAGTTTCTTTAAAGAGGTCTTGATTGTTAAATTGCAGACTTGTTATTAAGCAATCAAAAGGAGGAACCAAGATTTCACTCGGCTTTTCCTTTTTTGTCTCTGTCTACCACCACATCACACAGCTCTACTGGGATCAGGGAGAAATAAGTTCTGGATCGGCTTAGTTCTGGACCCAGAGCACAGCTGGCAGTGGTCTGATCAGAAGCCTTTTCGCTACCTCAAATGGGATGCTGGTAAATTTTCACTTCTAACATCTAAGTGATTAAATTTTGAGAAAACTGTACTAAACATGTCCCATGAGTCTGTAAATTCATCAGCGTAAAAATATTCAAACATTATATTTGATCCAATTATCTTGAGCAGTTCCTAAGAAGCCGCTTCTGCTACAAATAGTTCTAGTTGTAATAACAAATTATTATTTGAGGAACCTTCCTCTCGTAAATTAAAAAAAAAAGTTTTAACTTTTTTCATCATTCTGCTTTAGGAAACCCAGTTTCTAATCCAGGACACAACTGTGCCGTTCTGGACTCATATGGTCAGTACTCATGGCAGAGTTCCTCCTGCACTAAGAAAATGGGCTACATCTGCCACAAGGGTGGAAACCCACCAACTCCTTCTCTAGGTACAGAACACTGATTCACCTCTATGCCATTTCAGCATTTGTCTGGAAGGTTTAATCAAAAAGACTTGATTAATGTGTGAGGTTAGTCATTCGGTCTGCAAATTTCATCAACAGTTGAACAAGGATTTTGCTCAGACCCGTATATCCCCTACAACGGCCACTGCTTCCACCTTCAGCGTACCACTCAGACTTGGCCTGATGCTCAGAGAGAGTGTCGTAAGGATGGAGGGGATCTTGTTACCATCAACAATGTGGAGGACCAAAGCTTTGTCATTTCTCAGCTTGGATATGGTATGTAATAGTCCTGGCAACTTGAGTCTACTTATTTTACGACTACTATGTCATTGTAGTTTGAGGAAAAGGCAACTGAAACTGCACAACAGCACCTATCATCAAACAAAAATGGGGCAAAAATAAGTTGCATCTGAAGATAGTCTAGATGACAGATTTGCAGATGATTACTGGATATTATTTTGTGCATTATAGACTGTTGCATGAGTTCAATTGAAGAAAAGATGAGCAATGAGATGCAATTTAATGTGACGTTTTCAAATAGGCTAATTTTCCACATCCATGTCTGCAGCATCCGGTGATGAGCTTTGGATTGGATTAAATGACAGGAGAACAGAAGGTCTGTTTGACTGGAGTGACCACGCCACTGTCACATTCACCAGCTGGGAGTTTGGAAAACCAACAGTTTCCGGCCTGAGTGAGGACTGCGTTTTCATCAGAGGGGAGGTAGGAAGCATCACGTGGATTTCACAGTGTGCCACTCATTTCAATATGGAGCAATATGGCATCTAATGTATGTTATGTGTTATATAAAGTGCATTTGACCCCAAAAAGCAAAACAAAAAACTGGAGCTCCTTGCAGACATGGTAAATGGCCTGCATTTGAAAGATTCAGAGTTCAACTGAGTCAAATAATGTTTTTAACTGAACATACAAAAAAATCAATTCAATCCACATTTACATATTTGTAGTTTTTAGATGGTTTTTACTTTTTTTGCAGAATGGGAACTGGGCAGATGGGTCATGTGATGACAAGCGTGGGTTCATTTGTATGAAGCAAAGTTCTACTGTAAGAACTGGAAATGAAGTAGAGATGGACCATGGCTGCATAGCTGTAAGTATACTATACTAAAATGAATTCCACAATTAAATGTAATGCTGTCTAAAGCTGTCTTTTTCTTTGATTTAATAAGTGTTTGTTTATTCTCAGGGTTGGAAAAAGCATGGGTCATATTGCTATTTTGTTGGGTCGGAAACAAAGACTTTTGCTGAAGCTAAAGAGGATTGTAAGACCTCAAACGGCTATCTAGCTGATGTCTCAAGTGGGTAAGAATGTTTGTTTCCTTTCATAAATAATCTAATGCAAAAAATGTGACCACAAAATTCAAACACAAAAGTAAAAATGTTTTGTGTCAACACCTTAAAGGTGCGGTTGACCGAAAAAACATTTTTTAAGGATTACGATTAGAATCGGTCACTCTGAGTTTTTCATGAAGGCTGAACATGAAAAAGTCTCCTACACCTATCTTCTGCATTAACTTCTGATAGAAATTGGATTATGAAATGCTAGGGTTTGAAATCCCCCACACTGTGATGTCATACTGTGAATTTGCATTAATGGCATTGCCCACAGGAAGGCTTTTTTGCAGCAAGGAGAGAGAGCATAGAATGTGTTGGTGAAAGGAACATTGCAAGATGGCTGAATGTGTTTTGTTAGCTAGTCAGAAACGGGGTGTGTGCATATCATTAAAAATAATGAGCAATCTTGCTCTTTTCAGTCCACCTCAGCACAAGCAAACTCCTGCATCTCAGAAGAAGAGCATTATAGGTTTAAAAAAAAATGACTCAAGGCCTTTATTTACACTAGAAAACACTGCAAATATATCAAATAAACGAGTAAACCACACACACCAAAAAAAAAAAACATAAACGTGAGTAGGCTGACTAACACAAGGACATCATAACACAAACAGGCTCTTGGGTACGTTTTCTAAAGAGCATCTACTTAATTTAAACAAATGAAGCCTTAGTAATTTCCGTAAAAACCTGCAGGGTGGACAACGCCTTCCTTGTGAGCCTGGTGGGACTGAGACCAGAGAAACACTTCTGGATTGGACTCTCAAACCAGAACAACATTGATATTTTTGCATGGACCAACACAGACTCTGTGAGATTTACTCACTGGAATGCTGGAATGCCAGGTGAAAAACATGAAAAACTCCACCTTTCCATTTAAAACAAGCAAAACAAAAAGCATCCCAATAATTGTAATCAGCTTATTGTTTACTGCAACGTTAAGGTTACCAACAAGGCTGCGTTGCCATGGCCAGTGGGATTTCAGCTGGACTTTGGGATCTGTTGCCCTGCACCAATCGGGAGAAATACATCTGCAAGAAGTTGGTTGATGGGGCCTTACCAACAGCACCACCACCTACTCAGACTCCCCCCCAGTGTGCAGATGGCTGGACTCGAGTGGGAACGAGAAATGTCTGCACTAAGGTACTAACAGGATTCAGTTTTAGAAGGTTCACCTTATGAAATTAATAGACACTCAAGCTGATGTTTTCTGATTCCCACTGCACATAGATGCATTTTAATGCAAACACACAAAACTACAAAATGTATGCACAACACTGATGGGGATAAATAAGTCAGCTAAAGTCATCAAACTTTAGCCTGACATCACCTGAAGTAAATAATGCATTTTAAGAAAGGATGCGGATATTTAAAGTGGCTGAACGTGCAGAACAGTTGTACACTGTTCAGAAGATATATTGTGTGATTGCAGGCCATACCGTGGATACGCCATCACCGTATGCGCCATAACTCTTCTGGATGGGTCAAAAGCAGAGAAGAATTTAGTCAGTGGGATCAATGAAGAAGGAGAAAATGTTATTTGTAAACTGCCTATCAAGAAAAGGCAGTTGTTATTGTTAAAGTTTAATATTTTAACTGAGGTGGATCTTTTTTGGTCTAAGTTTTTCACAGGACCTAGATCATCTGAGAAAACCTGGTTTGAGGCCAGAGATTACTGCCGGGCTATTGGAGGGGATCTTCTGAGCATCCACAGCGCAGCTGAGCTCCACGTGGGTCGGTTAGTACCAGATAGCTATCACCTCATACTGAGGCCATATCATGAGATGTGAGTAAAATACGAAGCCATCACGATGCTTCGTAGAAAGCCTTTTCACTAGTTTCATTCTCTTAGGCAGGATTTATATTAAGACCAACTGATATTGCATACTTTAAGCAAATTACAAGGTAATTCATTTTTATTACATTTTATTTCCTACAGTGGGGGTGGAAGAGCGTGGATTGGACTTCACGTTGCAGATCCAAACGCTGGTTACGTGTGGTCTGATGGAAGCCCAGTAAGGGGTTTTTAACTTAAATATTATTCATTCTTGCTTTAGATGATATATATCGAATATTAATAAAGAATCTTGCTGTTTTTACAGGTAAACTACCTGCACTGGAGTGACGGAGAACCAAACAACTTCAATAATGATGAATCTTGTGCTGAGTTTACAATTCACAACTGGGATGAGTCTGGCTCCTGGAACGATCTGAACTGCGAAAGTTACAATGACTGGCTTTGTCAGATTCGTGCAGGTATAGCTAGGACATTACTGAGCAGTTTAATGTCTTCATACTGATCAGGGGAACAGCATTACTGACATTAGTAATACTTTACACCTAATCAAAATGGTAAGCGCCTTCTAGGGTTCTACAACCCCCCAAGGCACTTTACAACACAACAGTCATTCACCTACACACACACACACACACACACACGCACGCACGCACGCACACACACACACACACACACAGGTGGTGATGAACTACATTGTTACCACAGCTAGCACACCGACAGAAGCGCGGCTGCTAAACACTGGTGCCACCGGTCCATCTGACCACCACCAGCAGGCAAGGTGGGTGAGGTGTCTTGCCCAAGGACACAACAACTGCAATAGACAGAGCAGGGCTTGAGCCTGCAACCCTCTAGTCACAGGGCGGGCACTTAACTCCCCTGCCACCGCCATCCTTAAAACTATCCGTTTCATTCAGGACTGATAAATGAAACAATTTGAAATTAGACGATTAGTTTAATGCCGATTTGGGGAAAAAACATTCATGTCTTTGTTTGCTTTGATTTTGTGTTCTTACAGGAGTAACTCCAAAACCACCTCCCAATGACACAGCTATCGGTGAGCCAGCTGATTCAACATAAGAGAAATTTTTAGGGATGCTCGATGTTGGCATTTTACCGATCCGATATACCGATATTGTCTGACTTTTATATTTGACTCCATATTTGCCGTGTCTCCCTCTCATAAAAAAAGAAAAACTAAAACATTTTAGGCTACCAACATCACATACCTCCTATCATGCTTAAATTGTAAAAAAAAAAAAAAATTGTGCAAAATGACAACTACTTCAATTTACGTTAGAAATAGGAAAAGTGCCATATTAATTTTTTTCTCCAGCAGCTGAATCTCCGTCTTCCTAACGTGACACTAAGATGTGTGTAATAGTATTTTTTTTCTGTATATTGCAGTTATGGGGATAAAACATTTATAAAAATCTTCAGATAAGAAAAGCGAGCCTTGAAGACAAAGTCGTTTGTTAGCTGTCCAGCAACATGTAGCTATGTGCTGTGAGGACCGCGTACACTAGGAAAATTTCTACTTCACAAGTTGTGCCAAAAATACTAAAATAAGTCAAAAACTTCACCTTATCTGTTCCATTTTGTCATTTTCAGAAAGATGAGAAGCAGCTGAAGGGTTTGATGTATAATATGCGTATTGCAAATAAGAGCTGTGTCAATAAAGAACTGAAACCCGATATGGACATCTCCCTATATTAAAATTTAATGTCGACATCGGCTGATATTAATGGTAGCCCGATAATATCGAAGATCCCTACAAATTTTCATATTTATATCAATTTTGGAGCCTCAGATGTTGATGTAACATGTCTCCAAACCTCAGCAGAATTCAACACCACTGCTGATGGATGGCTTGTGTGGAGAGGGAAATATTATTTAATCAGCAAAATGTCAAAGTCAATGGAAGATGCTCGTCAGTTCTGCCAGCAGAGCCATGCTGACCTAGTGTCGATCAACAGCAAAGAGGAAAACATTTTCTTATGGAAACAGGTAGGACCGTTTTCAGACTTCACATACACAAACACCTACGATTTATACACTTTATGTGTGTTTATGTTTACAGATATCTAGAGGCTATGGATCATATTACATAGGTTTGTCTGTGGATCTCGATGGCTCATTTTGGTAAGTAATGAGAAATTCAACAGTAATATCTACTGATTCCATTAGGAAAAATGAAGTTGTTTCCTCAGAGGTGAACAAAAAAAAAATCCAAAATAACATATTTTGCAAACTCAAATTTGATTTTTCTTCTTTTTGTACAAAGTCTGTTTCATATTTTTCAGGTTATCAAGTATTAAGTCAAATTCTGTGCTATATTCTTATTTTCCTAGATTACACACATTTAGTGTGTTTTACATGTTTCAAAATATAAAGATTTATCACATAACAGAGTGGGCCAATATTGACATAATTTGTAATAATAAAGAAATTAAACACAGGTACACCAGATAATGAAAATGGTTGGTTTTCACAAAGTCTTTTACCCAAATATGAGCTTTTCAATGTTATTTTTAATTTGGGAACTAGATCTAAAACTAGCCAGTTCAAATGAAAACTGTGTGTTAAAGGTGGATGGATGGAACACCAGTGACGTATACAAGATGGGATGAAGATCAACCTAATACCAATTCTTTTGATCAGAATTGTGTTTCCATGAGCTATCACATGGGTAAGTTAAACTGCCACACACCCAGGTGACAGCAGGCTCAAACTCCCGCCAAATGAGATAAACGTGATGTTTTTACAGGTTACTGGCGAACTTCCAACTGTGGACGTGAGTTTATGTTCATCTGTAAACGAACAAACTCACCGCCTGCCAACACGACCATTGCCCCGACGCCTCCTCCTAAAGGAGGCTGCCCTTTCTCCTGGACAAAATTTGGCTCAAAGGTAAAAAATGTAACCACTAACTATTTATACTGGTTTTGAAACGTGTAAAGTGTAATAGATTCACATTAAAGACGTTTTTGATAATTTGACAGATTAAAGAACACAAATACAACTGCAGTTTTATCTAAATCAAAAGCATTTATTACCAACAGTGCTACAAGATTACAACCGACCGTAAGAGCACCTGGGAAGATGCACGAACACAGTGCATCAGTATAGGAGCCAATTTGGTCTCCATTCCAACAAGAAAAGTGCAAGGTTTGCTTTGTTTTGATTGATCCATCTATATTATAACCTCAATTTTATATGTTTTTCAATATCTGGCTATAGAAAATAATATTAATATAATTTGCCTTTTCTGAATTTGACATTTTTAGCGTTTTTGACCACTAGACTGCTTGATGAAACTGGGGATCTGTGGATTGGTTTGAACAGTTTAAAACAAGACGGCTTTTTCTGGGCAGATGGAAAAACACGACAGTACACCAACTGGGGTTATTCTGTAAGTATAGTCTGCAGGATGCTCTCTGTAATTCATTTATTCGTGTCCTTTTGCTGGCCTCCGGTGGCCGTCTGCTGGCAGTGCTGCAGGCTAGTTTAGTCTTAGCTATAGCCTAAAACCTGGCTTCCCCTAAAAACTTTAACTTGTAACTCTGGTTGTATCTTTTAGAAAAATCAGCGCCGCCCTGGAACATTTTATCAAAGATGGAATGAGGTAAAAAAAAGAAAGACAAATTACATCAGACTAAAGGGCTTGGTTACTGTGTTGAGTAAATAAAATAAAATTGATAAAACTTGACTGCAATGCTGACACCTTTGTCAATCTGTAACCAGGAAGATTGTGTGGCACTTACTAGGACTTCTGCTTTTGGAATTGGTAAATGGTTGATTAAGTCCTGCAATGAAACCAATGGATACATCTGCCACAAAAGTATCAGTGAGTACCCACTTGTTCTGCTTTAAAACAGTTTGGAGTTTAAAAAACACAACAGTTAAAAGTGCAGTTTGGAAAACATTTTACTGAATCTTTCTAGCCAAATCTAACTTCCGCAGCAGTGAAAGGTTATTAATTAATAAAATTAACCTAGTTTATGAATAAAAAAAGTTCCTTGTTTGACTTTTGCTTTGCCATCAACAGACCCTTCTCAGCCAGATCAACCAGGACCAATAGATCCAAACATCTACGAACGTCTGGGGAATGACAGCATGAAGGCCATGACTCAAAATCTGACCTGGGAAAATGCCAAGAATCTTTGCAAAAAGGAAAAGGCGAATCTGGCCAGCCTTCGAAACGAGTGGACCATTGCTTATGCCGAGCTACTGGCCATCACTCTCAAAGCTCCTCTGTGGATCGGACTTAACAAAAACCAGGTGAGAAGGTGCAGAAATTAAATTCTCTGGTGCTAAATCAGACAAACTCCTGAACTCAGACAGCCGTCACTCTAAAAAATCCATATAGTACTATATTATAGCAAAAATAAAAAAAATTGAACGAAATAGTTTGCCATTTGACATGATGAATCACTAAATTATCAAAATTGAAATAATCTAAATTAACAATGTCTGCTAATGTATTTTACTAACAATATTTGATGTGCCTTTGCTTTTTTAGACTGGAGGTCATTTTAGGTTTATTGATGGATGGTTCCTGAACTCTGTCAACTGGGCTGAATTTGAACCAAGCATGGACAGACCATGTGTGTACATCGATGTGGACGGAAAATGGAGGACTGCTCTCTGCAACCAGACTATGAACAGTATTTGTATGCAGTCAACAGGTATGGTTGTTTTTATGTTGCCAACACCAAATAATATATTTCATCACATCACCTAAATTTTTCACATGTTGTATTTTGTAATATTTTGTGAAACTTCAACCCTTTAATTTATTCATAGAGGGGCAACAATGGAGACATATTCTGTAATTTAATCCCAAAACTGTTCCCATGTCAACGTTTAAGAGAAACAAAAAAAACAAAAAACTATTGACATTATAAAGTTAAACATTTACATTAAAAAAATCCACCAGTGAATATTCAGACTTGTTCTGAGAACATACAAGTACTTATGAAGACGATTAACAATTTTGGCTTGTACCACTAAACCTGCATCTATTTGTTAAAAATAATCAACTCCATCCTTTGAGCATCCTTGCTCCTGCCACTCAGTCCCACAAAATCATTTTGCCATTGCCCAGTTCCCCAGCATAATATGGAGCCCTCAGTTGGTGAGCCATATGTCACCATGGTGATTGTGCGGGGCTTCAGGTAAGCCTTATTCGTGAAAGCCGAATTTGGGGAAATTTAGCCGGGATTGTCAGAATGAGCCTGGGTTTTGAGATTAGCTTGTTTCATGAAACATTTCACAGGACGATGTGTTTTCCAAACAACAAAACACCAAGTTTAATGGAATAAACAAGAAACACCATATTTTGATCAGCACTGTCTGTATCTTTTACAGATGTTCCACCAACAGAATCTACCAAATTTCCAGGACGTTGCCCTGAAGATACCAAAGTAGAGTATCAGGAGAGTTACACCTGGCTGCCTTTTAGGGGTCACTGTTATTTGTTTCTCACAGAAGAAATCGAATGGGCAGATGCAGCCAGCAGCTGTGTAAGACATGGTAAAATATACTTCTGAAATAATTTTAGATCACGTTAAGACTCCCTAGATGGTGGCCATTAAATTGGAGTGTGTGTCTGTCTGAAGGTGGAACCCTGGCAAGTATTCAAGATTCTTTGGAACAACAGTTCATCAAAAGGAATATAGAAGTGTTCCAAGACAGCCACCCCTCTTTTTGGATTGGTCTGTATAAGACACACAAAGGTACAATCACAGTATTTACCAGGCTTTTAAAATTTTAACCGTTTAATGAAATTGGTTATTTTTCTGAATCTCACTCTCACTGGTCATAGGACTTCTTGTAAATTTTACTGTCTCCCTTTTTTCCATTTCTGTTTGGTACTAGGATCATGGTTGTGGTTAGATAAAACAGTCATGGACTATGTTAACTGGGCTCCAGATGAGCCAGACTCATTTTTTGGAACCATCCAAACCTCTGATGGGAGTTGGAGTTCTGGTCGCAGCTGGCATGACAAATCGTACATCTGTAAAACGCCAAAGGGTAAGATGAGTCATCGCTCAAGGAGCATTTTTGTGTTTTTGGTTTCAAGTCCCCCAGGAGAAGTTATGCTCAGATCGCCAACACTAGAGCCAGAAATAAGAGCTAAAATTAGCTAAACAATCAAATTATTTCAGTCTTAGTACAATCCAAAGGGGTTTGAATGAAGGCAACTGTCTTCTTTGGTTCCTTGAAGATGTTTTGCTGCTAATCCAAGGAGCTTGGTCATTTCTGACAGGAATATGGGAGAGACAAGCTTATAGACTGTAATTCTATTGTTTAATAGGCTGAAACTATCCATGTTACTGTCAACACCAACAACTCCTCAGGGGGGAGGAGGGGTGTTCATAGGTAGTTTCTGCTAGTTAAGCAGAAATGGACAGCTACAGTTCATAAGCTTGACCCTCCCATATTCGAGTAAGAATTGACAAAGCTCCTCGAATGAGAAGCAAAACATCTTCAAAAAACAAAAAGTCCAGTTGCCCTCATTCGAACCCCTTTGGGTTACCATGAGGATGACTGAGAGCCTTCACCCCTGTCTTAGCGCAACTTTCCTCAAAATGGCAATGGTCCATCACATTGCTCTATAACACGGGTCCGGTCTGATCAAGGGCCGGAGGTTTTTCCAGCAGACACCGTGAGGGCCAGATGCTCTTGTAAAATAAAGTTCAATTATTGTTGTATTGTTTAATATTTAAAGGTTCACTGCTCTATTCCACCTTCCTCAGGATCTACTGATTTCCCTCTTTCCTATTCACTCTCTCTCTCTTAACATTTTTTCTTTTAAATCACAATTGTCTATTTTTGCTCATTTTAAATATATTTTTAAACATTTTCTAAATGCTTTTTTATATTTTTACATTTTTTGTTTTTGTGAAGCGCCTCGTGATTTTTATCTTGAGAGGCGCTATAGAAATGATATTTTCTTCTTCTTAAATTGACTTTGTTTTTCATGTAAACTGTTTTGATTGTAGTTTAAAGAGCAAGTCACCCCCAAATAAACTTTTTTTTTGCTGATAAACTAAATAAACAAGTGTCTAATCGTGCTGCAGACACGTGTCGTCAATAATTTGGCACTTCAGTGCATCTTAGTTAAAATTTAAATATTCTGCCTAAAACTGGCAGTGTTGTGCCGTTGTCAGGTAAAAACTCTGCACTGCATTTTAATTTAAATCTGCCACCGCTATTAGCTAAGAAGTATGCTATAATGTAAACTGGTACATTATGATGTCACAATGCTGTCATGAGCCTGAGTGTGTGTGTATTTGTTAGCGGCTCCGCCCCCTCGATCTGCCAGGCAACAGCATGTGTTGCAATTTTTAAACATGAAGTGGGAGTGGAGTTAGACTCTGGTAGGGGTTGACTTGGTCTTTAAGTTGTGTTTAGAGAACGTAAACAGTTATTGCTATTCGGCACATGAATTTTGCTGGTAAACTTCAAAGTCCCTCTATTGAGGGCGTTAGGGCCCAAAGAGTTGGGGGATTGGGTGGAAAGGTCTGGCGGGCTGCATGTGGTCTGCGGGCCGTCAGTTGAGGTTCACTGCTCTATAATATGGAGGCAGTCTTTGTATAGAAGCTGCTGACAAAAGAGATTACACTCAGAGGCTTTTATAAGCCATGTGCAGATTCAGACAGAAACATATTAATCCCTCTGGAAGTTTTCAGTAGGAAATTAAGTTTGCAGCAGTGGTGCATCGAAAGACCCCCCCGCCCCCAAAAAGTTTCAACAAGAAAAATAAGATCTTTTTAAAAAGGAAATTAAAGCTAAATAACTGCTCTTGACTATTTTCTCCCCTTGAAGTAATCCTGGGGATTATCTTTGTCAGTTTAATATAAAAAGAATAAAAAAATATAGCTGGAAAAATCTGCAGTTAATCAATTTGCATGACTCTCACTTGCTCTGGGCTCATCTCCTATTTGGTAACCACAGGATATACCGTGTTTCTTGTTGAAAGCAGCTTTCATTTCGCAATTCAAAAGAGAAAATTTCCTAAATGCAACAATTAAACTTCACAGTAGAAATTCCTTACTTTTGTTTTTCTCTTAAACAGTCCCAGACACAGGCTCAGAAGTAAAACCCGGTACGTGAAACCTTCATATTTCCTTGCATTGTGTATTTTAAATAAAGGAAGATTTAATTATTTTAACTATTCACAGAAATTAAAATAATTTCACATGAAACATTAATTAGATTTTCAAAAGTATAAATTCACTTACTTTTTTATTCTGCAGAGCCTCATGGGGGAGATGATCCTCAGAGTCGTGTTCGCACAAGCTTGATAGTTGTGATGCTCATCGCCATCATCTCCACAATCACGGTTGTTGCCATCTTGTTCCATGGGAGGTCTCCTCGTCCGTTCCCCACCTTTGAAAACCCACTCTACTTCAACAACGAGCAGGCTCAGCCTGATGTGGTCGACACCAATAAGCTGATAGAAAATGTAGAAAACTCTGAGCCAATTTTAACTCTGTGATTTCTGAAAGTGAATTAACTAGTGGAAGAATAATTTTACTGTATACACCGATACTCTTATTCTACAGTGCTTTTTTTTACTACATACAATTTACTCTGTAATTTAACAGTGATAGTTCTTTCTCTTCCTATGGTTGAATGTATATAATGGTTACATGTGGTCATCGAACTCTAAATGCTATTCAGCGGTTTGATTCAGAATGTAAAAAAATTCTTGTGAAAATCTAACAAACTCAATGTTGAATAAAGATTAAATTTTTTGGATTTCTCTGGTTTGGTAGGTCGAGGGAGGATTTAAAGGAGATGGAACACTGAAAGAAGATTTTTCATGCAGGTTGAACATGAAAATAGTCTCCTACACCTATCTCCTGCCTTAGCTTCTGATTGAAAATAGCCGGTGAAACTCTAGGATTAGAAAAGCCTGACAGATCTGTGTCACACTATTCACATTCATGGGCTCACCCATCTTGACTCACGGCAGGGAAGGCTGTTATTGTTTTAACGTCCAAGAAACAGCAGAGAATATCTCAGCTAGTAAACGCTAATTGTTCGCATTAGCGACTCATTTGGGCTTGTGTTATTTGAGGAGATAAAACATTGGTAGTAGTTGCATTTCTGTTAGCCAGTCAGAAGAGATATGTCCAAATATCAGCTTATAAGACTCCAAAACCTGCCATCTGAAGCTACTTTTTCCTCCAGCTGTCTTGTACTTCCTGATTTGGGCACATCTGGGCTTTGTTTCCCCAGAGTACGGCTTACAAGGCAATCATTACTACTAGAGACCACTGCAAATGTATTAATTAAATGAGTGGGCCACACCTTTAAAGGCAGACCAGACCATGGGGAAAGACTTATTCTTTGTTGGTGTTTAAAAGCAGCCTGCAACCACCAAAGTTGCAGTATATACTGCCATCACTTGAAAGGGTGACATCACAGGAAGGAGGCAGCTAAACACAGGGACGGAATGGAGAACGAGGTGTGAGCCAGTTAAAACTAATCAGGGAAAAGGGAAAACAGCTGTGCAGGCTGACAGGCAAGGAATGTGAAGGATGAAACCCAGAGATAATGATAGAAAACTACATGGAAACTAAACAAGGAAACATAAAACATATGCTGTTAAAAAGGGGGTAAATACTATAACCTGTATAGGTTGTGCAATTGTGTTATTTTAATTTACGCCGACTAGCCAGAAGTAAGCCCCTGCTATTCAGAGTACATCTAGAGACTGTCACACATGCTTTTATTCTATCAAGGCTCCACTACTGCAATGCATTGTATGCCGGCCTTAGTCAGGGTGCAGTAGCACGCTTGCAGTTAGTACAAAACTCAGCCGCTAGGTTCATGACAGGCACTAGGCGCAGGGAACATATATCACCCCTGTGTTGGCATCCCTTCATTGGCTGCCTGTGCAATACAGGGCAAAATTCAAGGTCTTGGTACTGACATACAAGGCCTTACAAGGAACTGCTCCAGCGTATCTTGGCAACCTTTTGCATAGACATGCCCCCTTGCGGGTCCTTCGCTCAGCCGGCAGGGAGCTGTTGATGGTTCCGCGCACCAAGTGCAGGTCACGGGGGGACCGTGCGTTCTCGGTGTTGGCACCTGCACTTTGGAACCAGTTACCTTTGGTGGTGCGTCAGTCACCCTCATTGGGGGTTTTTTAAGACTTGCCTTAAGACCCATTTTTTTGTCAGGGCATTCCAGGACTAGCAAATTTTACCTGGTTTCGTTGCCCTGGCCTCTTAATCTTTTTCAGGATTTTATTTTTTGTTTTTACTCTCCTCTCTTAATTTTTTTATGTTGGTTTTACGATATTTAATTCTGATGGTTTTATGTTTTTATTGTGTTGTGCTCAGCACCTTGAGCGTCTGCATTGGTCGCAGAAGGAGCTTTATAAATAAAGAAATGAAATGAAATAACTGAACAAACTGACAAAAAAACCTCGATTGCTGGTCATCAACACCCAGTTCATGACAATATTGTTTACATTTTAATTATATTTACAAGGCAGTCTTTTTTTGTCTTCATAGAAAGAAAATGAGCTCTTTTATTAGTTGAAATCTAAATATTCTTGATTCCAATTTTTTTATTGACAAGAAAACTTTTCATTCCTTTTCTACCATTTTGTTCTGAAAATGAAATTCCAAATTTTTCTACATATTTTTTTTTTCGTTTAAGCATTGTTCAAGAGTGAATTAATCATTCCCCAACATCCCAGCAGGTTCTTTCTACTTTATTTTTTATAGCATGTTTCTACTTGTGGTGCTTCAGTTTATATACATTATTATTTTTTAATTGTTTAGCATATTTTACATCATTGCAAAAATAATAAACTACATATGAAAATGAGAAAAATACCCTAAAAATAAGTAAGTCCAACCAATCATCTGTAAGTAATATGTAAATATATGCAATATATAAATATTTATCAACAGATCTTCAAGTATCTGGGCATTTTGTTTGTCATTTATGTAGAAAAAAATATATATAGAGAGAAATAATATATATTTATCCCATAACTCTGGTATAAATTATTTTACTAATTTATGTTGTTTTGAAGTTAAAATAGTTACCCTTTATGCTCAAAAGCAAATAAATGTGATTTTTACATTTTATGTCATATTGTGTTGTAACCAGTGTTGGGAAAGTTACTTTTAAAAAGTAATTAGTTATAGTTACTAATTACTTTGTCAAAAAAGTAACTCAGTTACTGAGTTACGAGATTATTAAAGTAACTAATTACCAAGAAAAATAACTACTTAGTTACTTTTTTCATTAAAGAATGCAAGAAAAATGGGTTAATTGAACTTACTTAATTTACTATAAATGACTACAATAGTGAAATATAAATGACTAATGACTGGAACTTAATAAAATGTATGTCAAAATGTTTTTTATAAACCTGAATAATTTAAATAAATGAGCACTTAACAGGAGGAACTACTAACAGGAACAATACACATATCTAGACTATTAAAATATCACTGTGTGATATTTAACAAGACCTCAATCAGCTAAAATTTAAAATTGCAATTAGAAACACCTGTAAAGGTTCCAGAGCCTTTAAATGGTCTCTCAGTCTAGTTAAATTACAGAAATGAATGTAATTTAGCACAGTATTTTAATTTTTCCAACTTCACATAATTGTCTGTTTTTAGTAGCATTTCTGTTGCTGGTAATCTAGTAACGGTTAAATAAATAAATAAAATCCTGTAAATGACACTAGAAGAGGCACAAGCCTGATGGAGGAGTTACATTTACTAACTTGGGTCAGACCCAACCACAGAAGAGCTGAAGCTGAGTGGTAAACACACACATGTACTTCTAATAACACCTGAGCACCATGACATCTGAGACTGATGTATCAGTATACAGTTTGACCATTCAACATCATCTGGTCAAAAAAGAGACACGAGACTGCATGTGTCCGCTTTTTGCCTCCATCCCACCAGCTGGAGCTCAGAGCCTGCAGCTCTGAACACAGATGAAAAAATGTCAACAATAATGTTCTCTCCTCAAGGTCCAATTTTTCAGGATTCTTCATGCCTCCATATAAGGAACACTCACAGCCTGGATTAGTTCCTAAATCAAAGAATGATTTTCTAAATTAGATATGAACTTCTACAACTTATAAGCTAGATAATCATTAAATAAACGTTTGTTTATTGCTACTTATAATTATAATATAATGAAATGTTTCAATAATCTTTGATCAATTATTGAAGTTTGAAATGAATGTTATGTTATGATTACATTGATTGAAATATGTTTCAGCATGTTGATATGACAAGGTCATAACCATCTGCACTCACACAAGAACAAAGTAAGGTTAAGTTAAACTCATGACACATAAATAGCCTTTACCCCAGATCAGAGCGTCCGGTATCAAGGAAAGCGTGTTTCTGAGATTCTTGGTAATATTACTCAAACTTGTCAACCTCTGGTTGGCTACACAAATCATAACATAAGAACATTAAAACCAGATCACTCTGGTGATTCTTCAGTTCTAGAGAAATCTTCAGACCGGCCATCTGAAGCAAAACCCTCTTTAACCATCAAAGCTTTTGACACGTCGTCAAAACCTTTTTGCACCTGCGAAGCTGATAAAGCAAACAGTTCCTGCAGAACGAGCTGATATTGTTTAAACTCCTTCAGAGTCCCAGTCGTTCCATCCATCTGTCGTGACCCAAGACATCTCTGGACTGAAGAGTCGGTACCACGGTATTCTACAGCCCTTCGGTGCCAGAGGTCAGCCGACCTCTCTGACCTTCGGATCCACCAAGAGGGTCTCCAGAACGGGTGAAGTAGACACACAGATAGCATCTGATGTGCTTTTGATAATAATCAACTTCATAGCTTAACGCAAACCAAATTCTTTTACATCCAGAACTCAGCTCTCCTAGATACGGAAGTTCTGACTAACATCGCATTCACACATAGGTTCAAACATCACACCTAGTTCCATCCATCACAGTAAAATGTTAGTGAACTTGTCATGTTTTAATTGTTGGTAAAATAAATTCTTACTTTTATAAACCTGACTCTTTTCTGAATCAAAACAAAGTGTGTACAATCCCCTAATAAATAAAGAATCCTAGAATCTTCTGATAAACACAGTAAAGACCAAGCAGGGTTGATATTCTATATTTAGATAGAGTATCACAGCTTATTGGTCATAAGTAGAGGTAATACATACATATACATACATATATATATATATATATATATATATATATATATATATATATATATATATATATATATATAGTTCTTAAAGCACTCGATTTACCAAACCCTACAGTGTTCTTGTGTAGTGTTTGGATGCAACTACATTTTGTGCAAATGGTGCAAAATAAAAGTCCGAGACCTGCTTCAACACAAGGTGCATTGAACAAAATACTACAAATATTTCATAATTTAATGAGTTTTCAATAGAATGCATATTTCTCTAAATTAACATCTTAATTCTGTACAAAACAATTTTTACCAAAACAAGTCCTGAAAAGAATGGTCATTCCTGTAAAATCAAAGCAGTCATACACATAAGTTCTCCTTACATTTACAGCACAAGGCAATTATGAAGTATATACAAATGTATAGATTGTATTCAAGCAGTATGTTTTATCAGAAGATGCATAGAATATCCAGCATGTAGCTCTGTCTGGTGTTAGAATATGCAAAATAGTAGATATGAAAAAACTATGAGCAAATAATAATTTTATTTGGATTCAAGTAGAAAAATAATTTTAGTTTCAGTTTTTACAGCAGGCCTCTACTGTTAAAAATGCAGGACAAACTTTATTTGTGATGAAAACACTGAAATATTGCAGTTTTCCGAACATTTAAATACCTTTCTTGGACTAATGACGTTGAGACTAAATGATTTCATATTTTGATCAAATTATTTTTTAACATATAGAAGAAACAGTTCATAATCTTGGGCAGTGAGATTTGAATTGTTTTCTCTATGAACATAAAGACATAAATTGGAATGTGTGTTCAAACTTGAGTTAGAATCTTTTGCATTTTTCATTTCATTTGTGTATACATAAATGTTTTAAAACTAATTTGTTTAGTTAAGTTCACGGAAATTAGGGGGGGAAAAGTGCAATAGAGTGTGGAAAGTGAAAATAATGGTGAAAAATAGTTTTCTGTATTTGCTTTATAAAATGAGCAGCATTAAACTGTTGCAGAAACAACCATCACTGGTCTATAAAGGAATCTCTGTGCCATTGTCGTCCATCTCTGTCTCTGCCTCGGTCCCTGTCTCTGTCCCTGTCCTTGTGCCGGTATCTGTCCCGGTCTCTGCCATGATAGAGGTGGTAGCTCTGGTGATTGTGTCCAGGATAGTGATCCATGTGAGTCCGAGCTGGGATATGTTGCTGGTGCCGCTGATGTCGGTTTCGTTCATTGTGCTCCTGCTCATAGCCTTCCCTATAGTGTTGCTGGCTGTTTCCACGGTGATGTTGACGGTGGTGATGGTGGTGATGGTTATAACTCTGGTGGTTATAGTTCCTCTCCTCTTCCTCCTCCACCACCTCTTCCAGCTCATCTTTCTCCTCAGGCGGGAGCCTCTGCGGGAGCCTGTGGCTGTGATCTCTGGACGACTTTGCATCCACGCTGCCGGATGTTTGATTGTGCAGGAAGTGGCTGTGGTGCTCCACCCGGCGGTGGTGATGGTGGTGATGATGGTGGTGGGTATGCTGGGGTCTCTTTGGTTCTTTCCTCAGAAGACGCTCCTCCTCCTCCCTTTGGCCTTCCTCAGCTCTTTGATCCTTATCTGGGCCTGACGGGGGCTCCTTATCTGGGTGGTTCTCTCGGGAGCCCTTCCTCTTGGAGCCAGTTGACTTCTTACCCTTCTGCTCATCCTTGTACAAAAAAAGAAAATACAGTGTCACCTAATTAGTTTCACTTTATACTTCCTTCTAAAATTATAATGCACATAAGGACTAACACAAAAGCAGGTTTTATGCTATAAAATGCAGCAATACTGGGTGTGAAATATTCAGCATGGTAAGAGATCTAAGTCCAGCTAAATTTTTTTTATATATTTATCTCAAATTTGGTTTAAGCAATATATGTGCAACAAACTTAAAAATAAGACAACTCTGACCTTTCTGCTCACATGTTACCCTCTGAATCCAGATCTATTAGCCCTTTTTAAATGTCTGAATTTTTCAAAATTATAAAATTAATGTGAAATTGGCTAAACATTTCTGTGTACCATAATTGCCACTTGGGCATCACTTCAGAAATAAAGGTGAAATCAGGTTGCAACAAATGTAAAACTTTTTTTCTTAGGGGTGATTTTTTTTTTCATCTTTTAACCCTTCCACTGTCTTTATGGGTGACCCTGCGAGGAAAGTTGACCATTGAGCAGGATTGATGGTTTATCCCTTGAGGTCCACGTGGCAGGGGTGAGGTGGTGCTCACTCCTCACCCCCTGGCACATGGACCCAAGGGATAAACCATCAACCCTGCTCAATGGTCAACTTTCCTTGCAGGGTCACATCTGTTAGTACAGTGGGAGGGTTATGGGCTAGAGACATGGGAGGCGACAAACAACCGCGATCAGCGAAATTCGTCGCTGTCGCTTTTATTACCTGACACACGGGAGGCAACCTGCGGCAGCGGTAAAGCCGTCGACGTGTTCTGTTCCATGGCAAAATTGAATCTTCTGTTGTTTTGATTGGCTGTGTCAGGTTGGAGGGAATTAAGGTTATTTAAGTGGTTCGGAATTTAAAAAAAGCAGTAAATATGATGTTTCACAAGGTGCTGCTAGAGTTATGTGAAATCTTACTTCTGATTTTACTATATAAGAAAAAATAACCTAGAATGGGTTCATCCCATATTACAAACCAGAGAAAGAAACGGAGGATACCATAATTTAACGGTAATGCACCAACAATTTCCCATGCCGTGGCCTTTTTGTGAATATCTCTATATTCTTTGTATTGTACAGTTCTGGGAAATCCATCACAGCAAGTATCAACTTCTCCTCCATGTTTGCTTGGAGATGTACGGAGCATCCTGTCTGCTCATTGGTCAATGAATGAAACCTCCATTGATTGATCCTCGTCCGAGCGACAGCGATGAAAAGTTGAAAATATTTCAATTTTCTGGGATCGTGTCGCTGGGTCGCCTGTGCACAACATGCGCACGAGAGCAGAATTCCACACGCACGTTTTTTGCGTTTCGCTTAGTAGGAGGGAGACCCGCGATTATTGCTTTGTCGCGCATGTCTCATTGAAAATGAGTGGAGGAGAGGCGATGTCGCCTCCCGTGTATCGAGCCCATCAAAGGGGCCACATCATGGAAAATCCACTTTTTGGAGCTTTTTACCGTGTGATATTATTTCCTTTTGAAAAACAAAGTTTTGGCTGAATTCATGCATTTTCCTGTTACACCTGCAAATTTTGAGTTTTACTTTGAAAATCCTGTAAAGCGTCAAGGCAACACATTCTAATCCAAAGAGGCTAAAACTGACGAAGGGTGACCAAGTGTTTGTTTCCGACACGTTGGTGCCAGAGTGTCGCTTTCCGACGCCCGCGGTCAAACTGAGATTTTGGCAAATTGTGACCTTTACCCTCTTGCAATTAAACCTTCCCCTCACCCCCATCCTAACCTTGACCCACTTGCGCATGCAATTTTTTGTTGCTTGTTGTGTCGTTCCTCTCAAACACGGTTAATGGGAAATTTAGAAAGAGAAACTGGGCTAAGGTTAGGATGGGGGCGAGGGGAAGGTTAAATCGCTTGAGGTTAGAGGTTAAATGTTGGTGAAATGTCCGTTTTACCGCCGGCGTCAGCACAGCGGGTCGCCTCCCGACGCGTTGGGGCTCCGAACGCGTTGGAAACAAACGCTTGGTCACCCTTCATAAATTCACCCGCTTCGGGTGTGAGAATTTGTTGGTCAGGGAAAAGGAAATGTGTCATCAGGTCCTGCTACTCTCCTGGAAGCTAGTCTCCGATCTGAAACCTGCCTACCCTGGCCATCACAGAAAATGTATCTACTAATAATTACTAATTTAAGACGAATTCAGGTTAATGAAAATAATGGGTGTTTAAGATAAATGACATTTCAGTAGTACCATTGGTCATATGCTGGGCCTACCTTTGCTCTCAATTGTTTAAAATAGTACAATATAGAACCTTTAAAAACATATTATCTCTTTTCTTTAGACTGAAAAATATGAAACAAGAAGGAAAATCAGATGTGTTTACTACAGCTTACCCTACTCTTCTTTTAACAGCTCTATGCCTTTTCAGCGCTAGTAGATTTTCAATGTATTTTACTTACCAGCTACTATCTCATTTCTTCTTCAACTTTTGTTGAAGTTAGATGGGAAAACATAGAATGAAAATGTTAGATGGATCAATGGGATGAGATGAGGGTGACTTTACACATTTTCTTAAGTCATGTTACCAAATGTTTGTACCGGTATTGTTGTAGGACTGGCAGGAAGCGTGTTCTCAGCCAGCTGCGCCACCACGGCGTTAGCAGGTTCCATCTCTGGTGGATGTGTTGCTCTCCAGTAGGATTCAAGGTAATCAGCAATGTGTTCACAGGCGTCCAGCAGCTGGTTTTCATCCAAGATGACATCAAACATTTCCTAATGGACACCAAATAAGTCAGTAGTTAGGGAGGCAATCTCAAAAATAATATAGTGTAGAGAATAAAACAATCAGTTTTTCCCTTGAACCATAGTTTGAAAGAAGCTGCGTGCATTTTTAAATGCCAATAGAAGGTAATTTGTGATTAAACAAAACTAACTTTTAGAAAGATTAAATAAAAGCTAAAAATATAAGAAAATGATGTGAAAAAGTATGGTTCACTTCATCTTTTACTGTTTATGGGCTCGACACACGGGAGGCGACAAACGACCGCGATCAGCGAAATTTGTTGCCGTCACTTTTACTACCTGACACACGGGAGGCGATCCGCGGCAGTGGCCAGCGGCAAAGCCGTCTACGCGTTCTGTTCCATGGCGAAATCGAAACTTCCGTTGTTTTGTTTGTCTGTGTCAGGTTGGAGGGAATTAAGGTTATTTAAGCGGTTCCGAGTTAATAAAGTGGTAGATATGTTTCACAAGGTGCTGCTAGAGTTCTGTTAAATCTTACTTCTGATTTTACTAAATAAAACATAATAATAATCAACTTCTCCTTCATGTTTGCTCGGAGATGTACGGAGCATCCTGTCCGCTCATTGGTCAGTGAATGAAACCTCCGTTGATTGGTCCTCGTCCGAGCGACAGCGATGAAAAGTTGAAAATGTTTCAACTTTCTGGGATTGTGTCGCTGGGTCGCCTGTGCACGACACGTGCACGAGCGCAAAATTTCACATGCACCTTTTTCGCGTTTCGCTTGGTAGGAGGGAGACCCGCGATTATCGCTGTGTCGCGCATGTCTCATTGAAAATGAATGGAGGAGAGGCGACAAACGACCGCGATCAGCGAAATTTGTCACTGTCGTTTTTACTACCTGACACACGGGAGGTGACCCGCGGCAGCGGCCAGCGGCAAAGCCGTCTACTCGTTCTGTTCCATGGCGAAATCGAAACTTCCGTTGTTTTGCTTGGCTTTGTCAGGTTGGAGGGAATTAAGGTTATTTAAGCGGTTCAGAGTTAATAAAGTGGTAGATATGATGTTTCACAAGGTGCTGCTAGAGTTATGTGAAATCTTACTTCTGATTTTACTATATAAAACATAATAATAATCAACTTCTCCTTCATGTTTGCTCGGAGATGTACAGAGCATCCTGTCCGCTCATTGGTCAGTGAATGAAACCTCCATTGATTGATCCTCGTCCGAGCGACAGCGATGAAAATTTGAAAATGTTTCAACTTTCTGGGATCGCGTCGCTGGGTCGCCTGTGCACGACACGTGCACGAGCGCAAAATTTCACACGCACGTTTTTCGCGTTTCGCTTGGTAAGAGGGAGACCCGCGATTATCGCTTTGTTGCGCATGTCTCATTGAAAATGAATGGAGGAGAGGCGATGTCGCCTCCCGTGTGTCGAGCCCATTATGCTCATTTCTCTGTTTAAGACAGTCACCACATGCAGTACCTACATCGTCCACTAGAGTGCACTTACCGAAGGACATTGAGCAAGTTTATCTGCAGCCACAAGCTGAACATTTAGATGCTTGGTCTGAGACTTTCCTCTAGTTTTAATCAGTCTCGTCAACACCTGCACAACAGGAAGAGGAAAAAAAGTCAGAGAACAATTACAGAAAACCCCTCCATCCATCCATTTTTGGCTGCTTATCCGGAGTTGGGTCGCGGGGGCAGTAGCCCAAGCAGGGAGGCCCAGACTTCCCTCTCCCCAACCACTTGGGCCAGCTCCTCTGGGGGATTCCTAAGGCATTCCCTGGCCAGCACGTCCTGGGTCATGTTTCATCCTAGTTGAACGTGCCTGGAAAACCTCGCCAGGGAGGCGTCCAGGAGGCATCCTAAATACATGCCTGAGCCACCCCAACTGGCTTCTCTCAGTGTGGAGGAGCAGCGGATCTACTCCAAGCCCTCCCGGATGATTGAGCTTCTCACCCTATCTCTAAAGGAGGGCCCAGATGCCCAGCAGAGAAAACTCATTTTGGCCATTTCTATCCGTGATCTCATTCATTTGGTCACTGCCCAAAGCTCGGGTAGGAACGTAGATCGACCATTAAATCAAGAGCTTCGCCTTCTGGCTCAGCTCTCTCTTCACCACAACAGGCCGGTACAACACCCGCATCACTGCAGACGCAGCACCTATCTGCCTATCGATCTCGTGCTCCAGCTTTCCCTCACTCGTGAACAAGACCTCAGGATACTTAAACTCCTCCACTTGGGAACTACTTGTGGTAGTCATTTCTTTGGAAACCATTTCAACTGCAAAATGATGCTGAATTGACTCAAATAACAAAAAATATCAAATTTATCTCAAATGTATTTATTTTTCCAGTATATTTTTACCTATTTTATAACTAAACATTCACAGAGCATAGTACTTAAAGATTAGGGGAATAAAAACTGATATGTAATATTGATAAAGCTAAACATTTAGCTTTCGGAGAACAATGTCCTCATCAGATCATCTTAATGATTTTCAGTTTTTACTTACTTGCAAACAGTTTCCGAGGTAGACCGAGAGGACAGAGTTGCTCCTTCCGCTCCTTTATTTACCATTATTTACAGAAAACATAAAGGATATTTTAACTTTCCCTTTTTAGGCTTGCTTTAAGCACCTCCTAAAGTCTGTTTTAACTCAGCCATAAAACCAAAAGTAAAACTCTCCTTGCTGTGCGTTAGTGTTTTTAATATTTTAATCTAATTGTAGAAATGTCTCCTCAGCCTTCATTATTTTCTACAGGAACGGTTCATCACTAAACCAAACAAATCAGCTGTGTTCATGATCTAAAAGATGCAGAAAATGTGATCGAAGCACACTCCACTACAGCATGTCAGCTCCACTTTATTAAGAGTAAAGTGGGACCTAACAGGGACTGATCCAGACACTCTGAAGTTGCAAGTGTACGGTATTCTGGCCACAGAGGGCGGAGGGGTCCAAGTGACATTTCACTGACCCTGTAAAGGGTAATTTTAGCACATACTGGCTCAAGAAAAATATTTAAAAATATGAAAAAAGTTGCATAACATGTCTTTAAATACAAGCATAAATAATGCAAGACCAGATTGAGGAAAATGCATTTAATTTGATTGCACAGCTTGTGCAGCTGACCCTTACCTTAGGTGAAGAGATCTTCACATACACCAGGATAGGAGCGAGGGAGGTCTTGGACACCTGCAGAGGGTGGTTAACTGTGTCTGCATCTAAAATCACCAGCTGCAAGCTTCGGGCCAGCTCAAATATCCGTTCCACCTCACCCTGGATCTGGGCTGCAAAAGCAAGACGGGACAAGGCTTCAACATGTTGAATCCAGTTAAAATTCACTTTTCAGTGCATTTCCTATACATACAAAGCCATACCTTATAGCTAGAAAAGTTATTTTATATAATATGTATGACTATTTTATTCATCGAAGTCAATGTAAATTTAGGAGACTTGAAATATTTACACCCTTTTTTCTGAGAGCTACTTGTTGTATCTGAGTTCCAGAAATTTCAGTGAGAGTTAATGACTTTATTTCTATTTCTTCTGCTGCCAAGAACCTTATAAATTATAGGCGGTACGCCAAATGAAAGTACCGGTACACAAACGTGTTCAATTAATAACATAATAATAAAAGCTTTCTCACAAATTCGGTCATCACATTTAAAACTATAATTGTGATTTGATCCACAAACTGTGCATAACTTTATTTATTTGCACAAGTTACACTTGATTTACTGCTCTCTTGGGAGGAGTCATTTAAAAATTCACTAGTGGAAGAGCACAAAAGCAGGACATTGACTTGAGTCTAAAAAACACAAACACAAAAGACTCGGCATCAAAGTTCAGCTCAACAAGCCAAAACAACAAGGTCTGGTATGGTTCTGTATAAAAAGCGTAAGGTGATGGATAAGTGGTGAGAGGAAGAACATCGGGAAGGTGGAGCGCTCAGATACACAAGGACTACCAGAGCTTTCAGTCATACATACCAGCAGTATCTGGAGTGAGACAGCAATGAGAGGGGTAAGAGTAAGAAAACCAAGTAAATCTCTTTCCTTCTCTGATTTAGACCAGTTCTTTTCTCCTCTAATGAAACATGCAGACAAGAAAGTGGTAGGGACTAGAGAGGGACTTGGACTATCCTACAAGGCAAAGTCTCCAAGCAAAAATAAAGCCATCAAAAGCAGAATTTTCACAATTGTTGAATCTGCCAATAAGTCAGAATTCTTCCCTGTTTCCATCCTGTAATACAACTTCAGTCCACTGAAAGGTGGTGGGAACCCAACGTTCTACTGGACTTCATTGTGGTTGTTAAGCATCGCTGATCTGCATGTACGCTGTTGCAGATATTCAACAAAAATCACTTCCAATAGCCAGTGGCGTCTCCAAGAGGGATCAAAAAGGTCAAAAGTACATTCAAAAACATATAGAGAAAAACGTGCAATGCCTAAAAAAAATATGACGACTGCAGTGAGGTTAGAAATGCCTTGCAACAAGCCACATCCATTGAAACGTCATAGATTGTTTGCAAATAACTAGGTTTAAATAAAGGTTTATAACAAATAGAACATTTTTCTAAAAGATTTTTCTAAAAGGGTTTCTGGCTAATCAATAAAATAGAGAGAACCAACCGTAAAGGACTAGAAGAACAGAAAAAGTGCCAACACATTCTTTTTGAACTCAATATCATAAAAAAAGAGGTTTACTTGGGTGAGTTTTGTCACGGAGTACAACGTGCACCAGAAGACAAACTGGTTTAGCTGTGCTTTCCCTGCTTTATTTGACATGTAATTAAATCAACTCTAGATATTTTGTCTGCTTTTTAGAGAAAAAGAGGCCAATTCCAGGGATAATTAGTCTGCACCTTTGTAATGATATATCACCAACCTAAATTAGATCGTGTGTTGGACCGATCCATTAAAGCCTTCTTTCCAGGGTTGTTGAGGATGGAGCGTTTAGCCAGAGAGATGTCAGCTGTGACCCGTGTGATGGTAATTCTGAAGGAGACACAGTCAAACCAACTCAGATTTATAAATGTAACGTTTGTTGTGTTTGATTATTTAAAGAAAAGAAAAAGAGAATTTACCGTCCTTCAAATCGGTGTTTTAAAAAGTCAAATAGTGCTTTTTGCATCATGTCCGTTACCTGGAAACATTCAAAATGAGTTGAAAGTTGAAGTTGTGTTGTAGTTGAATCAAGCTTTGAAGAAAACTCACCTCTAAGCCCTTCAGCGATGGTCCCATCAGGACCACAGGACGCATCGTGGGCACTACGTCATACATGGCCACCTGCTCTCCCTGAACACATGAACAATCATCCTTACTTCTTAAATAAGATTCACAAAGCCCATTTCTTTTTTAGTGAATGTGTTTGACACCAAACTAAATCCTACAAGCCTCTGGGATTTCTGCAGCTGTCCTTTTTTTTCTGTGCCAAATTCTCTCATCTGCTCAAACGTAGTTCAGCTACTCACCGGTTTCTTTTTCACCTGCTGATTGGCTGCTCACACAAACAACAAAAGTTACCAAATCACCAGTCATAAAGGAGAAAATGTCGATTCTTCCCTTTGTTTACTTCAGAAACTGACCTTGTGATGGAGGAGTGTATTTCTTTGAGTTCAGATCTTGAGCTGCTTGAGTTGCAGCTTTGCTGAAATAAAAAAAAAAATATGTTCCTGCATTAGCTTGTGGTGATTTAAATCACACTTCCCTGATTTTTTAAATGATAAAAACATAGCTCTCATCCAGAATATGCAAGAAAAGCTTTAGAGCTCTGAGAATTGATTTCCACTTGACTTTATGACCCTCAAATGACCTTTTGTCACTTTAATGCATTTAGTTACAGTATATTCAAACATTAACTTGCAGAGAATGCTACAATCTAATGGCATCAAAACAACTACCAACCATTCTTATGTCTGCATACTTATTAAAACAAAGCTTTTAATCATTTTATTTCACGATCTTCACACTCGACTGGTTCGGGTTAGGACTGGAGCTTCTCAGCTTTCATCAGACAGATAACAGAGTCATCCTGAACAGGTCACTTCATCATCCATAGTCATAATATTCTTTTATTTCACCATGGTTTAATCTCGCCTGTCCTTCCTAGACATGAAACAGTTCTTCCTGTGACCCACACTCTCTTACATAACCTTTAGACTAATCTCTGTTTTCTAAAAGTATCAACTGAATGTTGTAATCCCACTGTGTGTTTCTCAGTAGTGGTTTTATTATTGTCTGGATGATATAGCCCACAGCAGTTGGGTCATTTGGGAGCACAGCTGTGCCAAAAATTAAATCAATTTCACTCCTTTCTTACAGATAATTCCCTTTCCTAAATTATTTTTATAAGTTTCAAGCACTTTTTATTAGAAACTGTATGAGCCATTATAATAATCTAATATTCCTTCATGCGCATGCTCAACTCACAGGACTTTCTTATTTCTGTAGGATTTTTCCCATGACCACCAACTGAAATACGTATTTTTTTCTTATGACGATGGTTTTGTTGGGACCTAAACATTTTTACTTCACACTCAACTGTCCGCAATATAGTCAAAAAGATAAGTAGTTTCAAGTCATTGAATTACGCAGACCACAGTTTATGCACAACTCTTTGGTAAATGTTATTTTTGTGATGCAGGTTACTTACTGATGCTCCTTCATGTAAATTTGAGCTGATTTCATTGCAGACAGAACTACTTATGTACAACTGTTTCAGAGTTCTGAGCTTTAACACCTCATTTTCAGACATTTCACATGCTAAAATTTGTAATTTTATGTCATTTCCCACTAACTGAGCATTTTCTTTCCCTTCAAGACTAAAAAGTGACTTGACAAAACTAAAGAAGTCAGAGAAAAAGTGTGTTTAAAGTTTAAATTGGTCCATTGGACACTTTTAAAAAGAACATCTGTGCAGACTAGAGTTGTGTACTTACGTGGCTAAGGCCTTGGCAGCTTTCCTTGCTTGGACTTCCCTTCTGATGAGGATGGTTTCCAGGTTGACTGGACTGGGGATGAAGCCCACAACACCATCCTCCTTCACAGGTCGTCCAATCCACCAATCGTTGTTAAATTTCTGTCCATCGTAAAGCAGGAAAAAAAATAATAATTCTGAATCCACCACAACCAACTACCCGTCTAGGTGGCGGTAGTGCCTGTTGCAGGTCAGTTTTGCAGAAAGTGTGATTTCAAACCTCTTTGACATGCAGGAAGTCTTTGGCCTCAAATGTGACTGCTTGGCCTGGCACAGGAACGTTGTCGTCATCAGCTGGGGTGTAGGAGAAGTTGCAACGTACAGCAAATGCCACAGGCTTGTACTGGGGACACAAGACAAGTTTTCCAAATATTTCCTGCTCACATGGCGCACAAAACAACCTTGATTTCATTGCATTAATGGTTTTTAAAAAATCCAATATTTTTTATCTCTACAGCAGGGGTGTCAAACTCATTTTAGCTCAGGGGCCACATTGAGGGAAATCTAGTCCCAAGTGGGCCGGACCGGTAAATTAAAAAAAAACTTCAGATTGTTTTCTTTGTTTTAATACAATCAATATAAAACAAGGCTGGAGCCTGAGGACAGTGTATCCAAAATAGTACAAGTACAACACCTGAAGTGTACTTGAAAATTTGAAAAAAAAAATAAAAAAATCAATGAATAAAAAACATTCCTTAGTGATTCAAAGAGCTTACAGATAACATGGCTAGATCACTTTCATGCAGTGTTTAAAGTATATTTGACTCATTTTACTTTACATCTTTTAGCTTTCACCAGCACATCAATATCAGAAGTCCCATCCTGAGTGGCGGCTAACTTCAGGATGTGATTCAAGTTCTTGTGTGAGCCTTGAGCGCAGCTTTGTTTTATTTATACTCATTACAGAGAAAACTTGCTCACAAAGATACGTTTGTTTTCACTCTACATGGTAAAGTATGAAAATAAAGTTTACACAACCATCTCGCGGGTCGGATTTAACCCGCTTGCGGGCCGGATCCGGCCAGCGGGCCGCACATTTGACACCCCTGATCTACAGGAAAGATTTCTTTGCTGACCCATTAATGAACCTTTTGCCCAGCAGGTCAGACACCTGGTGGAGACCAGTTTATGCCTTACTGAAACTGACAATGAACTTTAAACTACTAAAGCAAAAAAAATAAAAAAAAAAAATAAAAAGTTAAATATATGAGAATATTTGAAAATAAGTTATATAATGTTACACCACAATAAAATGCTGCAAAATTAAAATTTTTACAAAAATGAAATATCCCACAATTTTGTTATTTCCTGTATGTTTCCAGTCAGCACGCACCCAGCAGGTTTTTTGGTGTGATCTACTTTAACTTGGGTTTCCTGAGAATTAGGAGAAAATTCTGTCAGGCAAACTTGGCTAGCGTGGCTCCAGGAGCCACTGAGCTTTTCTCATCCTAACAGTTTCTCATGCAAATTGCTTTAATGACCCTTAAGAGGCTCACTACAACCTCTAATAAAATATGGTATTCATCATATGAGGACAACTTTCTCTGAGAAAGCCTCTGCCAACATTTTAATAAAGAGACACAAGAATCAGCAGGACAGGCAGGTGCAGGTGTGATTACATTAATGATGCTAAAATCCATTTGTCTGCTTCACTTTCACAGGGAAGGAACTGAGGTTGTGTTCATCTACCATCCTCACTGTGACAAATGAACACGTCCACCATGAGCAAAAGCCTGCTGCATCTTCCTCTCTGATGCAGGATAGCTACTCGTGCTTCCCAACCTGTTGGTGCTGTAATCCCATCAGAGTGGCATACCGATCAAGCTGCTAATTACTCCGCTTGGGAAGATGAGGCTGTGGGGTCAGCAAGGGACAAGCAGAGTTCTTCCTCCTTAATTGTCAGTGAGAGCACATTGAATTGGTAGTGGAGGGTTTATTTTATAAATTAAACAGCGCATCCGCAGGGGACACAGGGAGAGGGGTTTTGGAAACCAGCAGTGACGTTTTCCTTATGTAATCGTGGTGATCTTCATGATGCGATAAAAAAAATTTATTTAGCTGCAGGATGGCATGTCAGGGAGGTTTTATAGGCTGATTTGATTCCAGAAATGCACTTGAATGTTGAAAGAAACTTTATTCTTCCCAAAACAAAGGTTCCAAAATATTGCAGATGTAAGAAACCGATGATCTTCAAACATTTTTAGGATACCCCCCCCCCCCCCCCCCCCCCCCATTTTGAAATGTGCCCCAATACAAAACTTGAGGGGAAAAAAAACACATATTTGCTGCGGCAAACTTCCTGAACAGCCTCTGTTAAGAGAAGTGGCTCAATCAGACTAAAATCCCATTCGCAAGCTTTATTCTCCAGAATCTCTTATTAGTTCCTGCCACATTATACTGTATATTCACCCTTTAGACAGTCACAAACTTAGCATTACAGTTCTTTAAACTAATGTCTGTGGTTTCTTATGAGCATAAATAGTACAAGCTTAGAATGCTGACAGCAGTGTAATGTTAATGACATAACATTCACATGGATGTCTGTGAACCTGGAGCTGCTTTAGGGGAGGACGTGTATGCCCTATGTAACGTGAGGAAATATGGGTTTTCTGTCACAATGGTGGTGTTGGACGCAGCTGGGTCATAGCTGGGTCGCTGAGAACTTTCACCCACAGATTAAGACCTGAACGCCAGTGAGTCTGGGAGGAAACCATAACATCTGCCACCTGCAGTCTACCAGAAGATGTGTTTACATGAGTTGTACCCAGACCAAGTCAAAACATAAAGTTTAAACTTCGTTTTCTTGATTTTAATGTTAAAATAACCATTATCATTTTGCTCATTATAAATGTGTTTAATCAAATAAATGACTAGTATGCTTTGGGGTAATTATAATGGATTAATGAATCCACACTTAAGTAGATAATGTTGAATGTGTGGTACTGACCTTCACACTCAAGCACACAAACATTCACACACACCCACACATATCTGCCCACAGTAAACTCCAGACACATTTGATGACGCACATGTTTTGCTTTGAGAAGAGAGGTTTTTGGTAAGTTTTCAGTTTTATGAGGCAGTTCGTGTTGGACAACGGGAAAGAACAGACCTGAAAACCAAAGGGGGGGCAGAGCCTGTTGGCTCGTTCTTCCCCCCTTTCACGCTGTTTCTGCCAAGCCAGGCAGAATAGCTGAATCGCGACTTCTAACGAAGACTCATTACCGAGTCTTTTGATTTCTGAGTGAATTAACTTAAGAAAGCGCATCGATAAAACGCTCTACCATCCACGTGTACCGAGGGCAACTCTGGACCGGTTCCGTCGACACCTATGTCTCCTGTCAGCCGCCGGTGTCATCTGGATGAACCACAACATCCTCCACGGCCCGGATCCGAAAGAGGGTCCACAAGAGTTCGGTGAGACAGAGCACGGTTTTAGCGTTTGATGCAGTTCTCTGATAAGACCTAAGTTTATCCAAACCATCACTTCACTCAGACACCTGTTTCTTCCTGAAGCAAAATCAGACTCACACGCATTCATGTCACAACATTCTCAATCTTCATAAATTCACCAGAAGGTCTATTTGAGCAAGAACAGCATATAAACTGTTAAAAGATTGTCCCACAAAGTTGCCAATGTGATTGTTATTTCCTGTTTGTCAATTTTCAAAATCATTAGTTTAATTTGAAGAATTAAAACTTTTAATCCTTCAAACTTGTTTCCTCATTGAACTGAAACACAGACACTCAGATATTATCGGCAGTTTATGGATGAAAACAACCTTTGAGTCTTCTGAACAATATAAAATTTGGTTATTGATTTATTAAAATTAATATTCCGAATTAATACGTAGCATGGTTTCTCTTTCATAAAAGAGCATAAATCCATAACGCTACACCTAATAAGCCACAAGTTTTTTGTTGTACCAAAATATGTTGTTAGACACACACAAAATATTGCTGTTTACTTATAAATCTATAATATTTAGTACATTTTTTGACATACATAGGACGCCATGTTTTCCGCACGCAATGCACTCTGGGGGCGATGACGTAAATTGGTTGCTCTTGGAAGAATAGCTATTGACGCCGCCAGATATTGTTTACGCGCTCACCGTATTAATAATTAAGTAAAATGCAGCATTGTGCTGATTTTGGATGTAATTTCCAGTCAAAGTGATGTAAGTTTACACAGCTTTCCCACTAGCAAGAACAGGAGAAAGCAGAGGGTAGATGCCTGTGGACGGACACAACTTCCCAAAGATCCACGGCTGTGTTCCTAACATTTTTCTCCTGATGCGTTTGAGGCTTCTAGTCGACCACAACTACTTAGAGCTCACCAGAGCAGCTGGGTATAAGAGAAGGCGGAAACTAAATGCTTTCCCGACCATTTTCCCACACAAGGAACCTAAATGCCCTCGGAGAGACAAGAGACGCTGGACGCTCTCCTGAGCCGACAACTCGCTCCTGCAGCTGCCGCTTCTGTCACGTTCAGCGAACCATCGGACACGCCACTCGTCACGGCTGAAGCTGAGCATTCACCTCTCCCGTCAGTAAAACAAGCAGTAAGTGCAGCAACACAGTGTTCTCCAAATATATAATATCTGCAAAAATGATTAAAGTCGTTTCACTGAATATCCTAATCATCTATAAAGCACATGGCAGCTCTGGATGCTAAAATTCTCCAAAACCATTCATATCTGAAGTTTGATCACACGATAGCTTACCGTTAACTTCTGCTGACAAAAATGTGAGCTCTTGACAACAAATACTCTTTCTCTCGATTACCACTGGGACACACTTGCCACACACGCACCACCGGTTTTGTCCTGCACTCGCTTCATCCCGCCCTTCTTGCTCTTCATTTTGATGCTCGTTTTGTGAAACATGGTCAGTGATGTCCTCATTAATGTTTGGCTCTGGTTCAAATTGAAAAGGCTGAACAGATGACATGTTGATGTCGCTGAACATTCACTACAGGGCCCCAAAGCCGGCAGGTGCAACCGAGTTACAGCTATATGACGTCACTACCCAGAGTGCAGTGTGACGCCAACAACAATGGCGATCTACAAGTTAAACTATTTTTAACAAATTGTATAAAAATGAAGACATTAAGAAGTTTTTTTTTACACCATTTTAATATAACTGATACTAACATTTATCTTTTAAGAACCACAAGGTTTTGTAACCTGGGTTCCGGACCCTAGGGGGTGCTAAAATCAAACCAAAACTGCCTAGTTTCCCTTTAACTTTAAAAGATACACACTTCAAATCATCTCTTTAGTCATATTTAATCATTGTGATTACAACATTCCAAAACATAAGAGGAAACCCAATTTGGTTGAACTGTTCAAAGATTTTTTGCCAAAAAAAATAAAAAATAGGGATGTCCATTATTACACATTTGGAGATTGAAGGGATACTTAGCAGTTTAGCTTGCTTTCAGCACCCCTAGTGTTTGTTTGTAGAAGCAAAACTATCTCCTTGCTGTGCATTCATTTCTAGCACCTTAATCTAACAGCTGAAACGTCTCTCAGCGTTCCTAAGTGTCTACAGGAGTGAGTCATCAATAAATTAAACAAATCAGCTGTGTCAATGATCTAAAACATGCAGGAAACAGGCTGAAGCCAGACAGCAGGGTCAGGTAACTCAGCTAAATATTTTCTAGTAGACGGATTGGCAACTGTGATGTTGCAAGTGCTATATTCTGGCCACAGGGATAATGGTTGGGTGGGATTTCATTCACCCTGTAAAGGGTCATTTTAGCACATACTGGCTCAAGAAAATGACTGGCCCTTTAAGCTGCTGTTGGAGACAAAATACACATGGAAGTTTTCTCTGTTACTAATTAAAATTGAAGTAGTTGTCATTTAGCACATTTTGCAAGTTTAAGCGTGTGTGATAGGAGAGGTGTGATAATCAAAAATGTTTTAGCTTTTCTTTCTTTATGGAAAAAGGGACACAGCATATATCGGTATTGGTTCGGCTCTTCACCAGCCGTGAAAGTGTGGCTAAACGTGATAGCATCTTATTCCCACGAACTCATTCCCAACCGGGAGTGATTCTGATGTTTCACACAGCTGATCCTGTGAAGTCATAGCCTAGTGAACTAGACCAAATTCTTGCTTTGCAAAGTTTGGTCTAGGCACGCTCCATTGGAACCTCCGCAGCTCCTACCAGGACTCTGGCTAGCCAATCACAACTCTCTAGAGAGGTTTCAAACACATAAAGAGCTGTGATTGGTCCATAATGGTGGGCCAATCATAGTGCTCTATCTGCTTAGTGAACAAATCACAGAGCTTTATCCGCTTTGTGAGCCAATCAGGGCACTCTATGTGCCTGGTGGGTGGGATGATGCAACAGAGTGAAACAAGAGTATGTCACGTTCATTGTCCAGTAGCATGCGGAGATCATTTGAAAGACAGCGGTAGAACCCGCCCCACAACTGAGAGCCGTCAATGGAGCATACAGACTAAATAATACATTTATTTAGTCTGGCTTGCCAGGCTAGTGAAGTCACACAAACACAGAAGAATTGCAACACCACGCATGATTTCAGAAGTTCACACAAAAAAAGCAAGGAGAAAGACAACTGCATGTGTCCAGAAAGGGCAGTGGTTTATTTTCTGTTCTGTTTACATAAATTGCAGAAGCTTCACAGGAAACGGCATACTGCACGTGACTTTTATTTGGAAAGTTCCTCGATGTTTTACACTGATTTAGAGTTTGATTTCCTGTCTGGGTTGATCTGAACTGCATAGTTTGATGTGTTTTGGAAGCGTAGCACGTAAAAAAATAGACCCACACATAATGATGGCACCCCTTTGCTTCGGGGACACGCCCACAACATCACATTTGGCTGCCGATGGAAAGAAGCTCATCGGCTAATTTCCGTGTAGTGCATTTCGCAGCCTTTTGAGCCGCTTTCACATCCAGTGGTGGGTGAGAACCAGACAATATCGGCACATTGGATATTGGTAAAAAAAACAAACAGCAAATACTCTTAATTATTTATTCTTTATGCTAATATGTGTTGTTCTGTTAGGTCTTGATGCAATCGTACCTTTGCTTTCTCCAGCTGCACCTGTGCATTTCTCTCCTCGACCACGTCCGAGTCCTGACGCTCTCCCTACAAGAATCACAAATGTGTCATTATCTTTCTGAATCATTTATGACAAAATCCATGTAAAAAGCGATTCAAAACACATTTCTTGATTCCATTCCGTTTGAGCATCGTAGGACCACAAAACTTTAATATTTTGACCTTATGGTGACCAATCAAATTCCACATGCTTGATTTAACCAAACATTAAACTAATCACCGCTTTCAAATATTCCTAAATGTCTTCTGTGGATCAAGAAGCCTGGGATCATAGTTCTGAGCACCAAAGGTTTATTTTAGACTCATTTATCTGAAATTGGGTTTATATTTTAGTTTAATTTAGTTTATCTAACACAGACAGTGCACATTAACAAACATCAAAAGCCTTTAAGTGTACAAAAAGACATTTAAAAAAATATGATAAAATATGCAGTAGTAGTGATGAAAGGAAGTGACTTTTTTAAAATGCCATGTAGGATAAAGCGGGGGTGTTTTGTCCTTTTGGCAGGGTGACACTGACTCACAGGAAAGGCGGGTGCTGAGCAAACAGATGTCTAACCAGTCATGGATAAACAACCCCCCCAATGAATTATTTAACAATGCTGATGATATGCAGGTGAGTCATCTAATACGCTGGTGAATAAAATAAAAATCCCAGAGATTGTCAATGATAACAATTAACAAGGCAGTCATTTATTTAATGAGGGTTTTCTCTTACAGGACATTATAAAAAGCATTTGGTTCAAATAACATCTTAGAATAAAGATAAAATCCCCCAGGGTGATTGTTTTAAACCATTTTAATTGTTCCTGTCCATCAATTTGAGAAAAGGTAAATAACAGTAGATGTTTAAAACAAAACAAAATAAAGCAAGGAAGTTTGCAGGAGCAAGCCTCTCACAAAGGACATTACAGCACAGCTGATAGTCACATATAAAGGGCTAAATCAGGCATGGTGGTAAAAGGTTGATGATATGGGCTCATTTGAATCACACTGCAGTCACAACGTGAAAAGCTGATGTTTTTTTCTGTACACCAGAGAATACAAAAGACATTTCTTAATCCAAATGTGTCTTTCAAAATAAAGGGTTAACAATTTTTTGTTTTGTTCTTTTTATGTCAATATTTTCTTTTTAAGATGACAAAGACAAGCTCAGCTGGTTAAATTACTAACAACAAAACTTAATTTCCACACACTGAACACCAAATCTGACCATGCTTCAAATGGACACCCGTTAGTTTTATTTCCTGATTCCTCCATTTTTTTATCTGATCACATTTTTATTTCTCACACTGTTTTTTTTTTCCTGCTGGAGAACCACACCGGCCCATTACCATGACTACTTGAATTACAGGGTATGGAAAGGAAGGTGGGTGATGTGAACAAGTGCAGCTACCTGAAGGTGCCTCTTTTCTCCACTCAAAACGTTTACACAGCTCTTTCAATGCACGCCGGGAGAGGGCATTAAGGAAGAAGCCTCTGATTGGGAAGCTGCCTCAGTCTAAACTGAAAGAATCTGAGCCAACGAGTCACTTCGAGCCAGCTGGATGGTTCCCCAGAGGACAAACTTAAATGTGGACTGTGTCACACCCTGTCCTGTCTCCCCATTCTGTTAAGTCATGTGTCCCTGTTAATTGCTCCCACCTGCCTCTCGCTCCCAGCCCTTATGAATTTAAACCCTCTCAGTTCTGTGGGTTTTGTTGGTTCATTGTTTCCATGTCCAGCGTGTTTCTTGCTAAACCGTTCCTGTCTGTCTGTCTGTCTGTCTGTCTGTCTGTCTGCCTTCTTCACCCGCATTTGGATCCTTGCCTCCGCTCACCTCGCCCACACGCTGTGACAGACTGGGTTTTCAATTCAATTCAATTCAAGTTCATTTATACAGCGCCAAATCACGACAAGAGTCGTTGACGTCTCTGGTGTCAGAGTTGAGGGTACCTTGCAATAAAATTCCCAAATGTTTAATGATTCCTATTGATAAGCACACTTTGGTGTTTCATTTACTCAACACCTAAAAATGTAATGATGTAATCAATTTTAAAGTTTTATTTTCTCAAATAATTATTTTTAGTTGGATGATTCTGTATGTTTTTTACTCAAACTTGTGGTTTTATTATCAATTAAGAGTGTTGCTTCTGCTGAATTTCACATGTACTTGCATTTGCTAAATTAAATGATGTTGGGAGATCAGGGGCAGTTCCACTGGATTGGCAGACTGGGGTAATGGTCCACCTATTTAAAAAATGGGACCGCAGGATGTGTTCCAACTACAGGGGGATCACACTCCTGAGCCTCTCGGGTAAGGTTTATTGTTTGGTTCTGGAGAGGATGCTCCGGCGGTTCGATGAACCTCAGATTCAATAGGAGCCATGTTGTTTTCGTCCTGGCTGTGGAACACTGGACCAGCTCTATACCCTCAGAGGGGGGGGGGGGGGGGGGGGGGGGTGTTCCTTGTATGACTGGTGTCAGAGCTTGATCCACATTAGCGGCGGTAAATCATGCTCGTTTCTGGTGAGAGTTGGACTCTGATTCTGTTCATAACTGTTATGGACATTATGGATTACTAGGCACAGCAAGGGGTTGAGGGGATCCGTTTTGGTGGCCCAAGGATGGAGTCTCTACTTTTTGCAGATGATGTGGTCCTGTTGGCTTCATCAGAACATGATCTCCAGCTTTCGCTGGAGTGGTTCGCAGCTGAGTGTGAAGCAGCTGGGATGATACGCTCCTCTAAATCCAAGACCATGGTCTTGAGTCCAAGAAGGGTGGAAAGCCTTCTCCGGGTCAGGTATGAGGTCCTGCCCCAAGTGGAGGAGTTTAAGTATCTCGGGGTCTTGCTCATGAGTGAGGGAAAGCTGGAATGTGAGATCAATAGCCAGATTGGTGCTGCATCTGCAGCGGTGCAGGTATTGCACTGGTCTGTCATGGAGATTGGTTGACTAGGTGAGAAGCTCGGTCTTTCGAGAGGGGCTCGGAGTAGACCCACTGCTCCTCCACGTCGAGAGAAGCCAGTTGAGGTGGCTCAGGCATCTAGTTAGGATGCCTCCTGGATGCCTCCCTGGTGAGGTTTTCCAGGCATGTCCAACTGGGAGAACACCTAAAGAAAGACCCAGGACACACTGGATGGACTATGTCTCATGGCTGGCCAGAGAATGCCTTAAGATTACCCCAGAAGAGCTGGCCCAAGTAGCTGGGGAAAGGGAAGTGTGGGCCTCTCTGCTTAGGCTACTGCCCCCGGATAAGCGTCCAAAAATGAATGGATGGATGGATGCATGAATTACAGCAGCAGTAGCTCAGGTGGTAGAGTGGGTTGCCTCATGATCGGAGGGTTATTGGTTTGATTCCAGCTCCCGCCAGGGGTATCCTGCAGTTGTGTCCTTGGGCAAGACACTTCACCAAACTTGCCTGTGTTAGTGGTGGTCAGAGGGGCCGACGGCACCAAATGGCAGCCTCGCCTATGTCAGACCTCCCCAGGGCGGCTGTGGCTACAAGTAGCTTACCATCACTAGCAGTGTGTGAATGTGAGTGTGAAAGCGTCTTTGGGTGTCTAAAAAAGCGCTATATAAGTTCAATGCATTATTATTATTATTATTATTATTATTATTATTATTATTATTATTATTATTATTATCATGAATTTGGTACATAACGCCACTAAAAAGGAAAACATTTGAGTCAACAAGTCAAATAAATGTTCAAGCAGAATAGAAAATGTAATTTTCAATAAATTGTAGACATTTTGTCCTTTTCAAATTAAGATTTTAATTTGATTCATCTCTCTAGAGATGCAACGTTTCCTGCACATTCTTTCCACTAATGGGGAAGCATTACCATAGCAACTGCTGAGAGAAATACGCCACCTCAGCATTAATGACTCCCACTGATGAAAATAGATCTGCCTTTATAACATGTAATCCATGATCCTCAGAAAGCTGCACAGTAGAATAAAATAATCCTCCCCTCATGGGCCAGAGCCACAATCAGTAGAGCATGTGACCACGCTGGACCGTCAGTGTTACAACAGCTGGTTGTTTTGACCAATCTCCATAAATGTGTTACACACAGTTAATTATAACATGAACATACTTTTTTGGAAGCCATTTATGCCATGCAGCCATAAAAGTGAGTGAGCATTTGTATTCACCCCCCTGCACCAATACTTTGCAGAGCCAGCTGCAAGTATTTTGGGGTACGTCTCAACCAGCTTTGCAAATGTAGAGACCCACTTTATTCACTGCAAAATAGCCCAAGCTCACCCAGACTGGATGGAGAGCATCTGGGAAAAGCAGTTTTCAAGTCTCCCCATAGATGCTCAACAGGATTTAGGTCTGGATTTTGACTGGGCCATTCTAACACATGAATATTCTTTTATCTAAACTATTTTATTGTAGCTCTTGCTGTATGTTCAGGATCATTGTCTTGCTGGAAGGTGCATCTTTGCAGCATCCAACAGGGTTTCTTCCAGGATTGCCCTGTATATCCATCTTCCCACCAGTCTCTGCTGAAGAAAAGCATTCCCTCAACATGATGCTGCCACTACCATGCTTCACAGTGAGGATGGTGTGTTTAGTGTTTTGAGCAGATGTTCCTCCACTTGTAGCATTTTACATTGTGGCCCTAAAGTTCAGCTTTGGTCTCGTCTGACAGAACACCTTCTTCCACATGTTTACTGTGTCCTCCACATGGCTCCTGACAAACAGGACTTTATATGTCTTTTTGTCAACAATGGCTTTCTTCTTGCAAATCTAATAGGTTACAGAAGCAAAAAGTCAAGCATTGGAGGAGTTCAGAGAAGCCACGTAGAAGGGGTTTCATTTGGTTTGAAGTAGCTTCAGGTTTTCTGAATGGAAAGGGGGACCCATGCCAGGCTTTTTATGGTTTGGGTGGGGAACTGCTGAACCAGACTGGGTATCATTTCCACATTCTAGTCTCCATGTCCTCTAACAAGGAGGCACCAACATAGGACTTAGACAAGTTGAGTTCACTGCGCTGACTGAGGTTGCTGAAGTTAAAACAAATGCGGAGCACCAGGG